GGGGGCAGGCTCCAGGGCAGGGGCCCAGTAGGCAGGAAGATTTTCAGCACCTGAGGGCACAGTTAGGTGCAGGCTGGACTTCAAGGCAGATGGACAAGCAAGCCCTGAGCCTCAGGGACAGAGCTGGGCTGAGCATGGGCTAATGGTGGCCCCAGAGGGCCAGTCATACCCAGCACCCAGGGTACCAGCAGAGGTGCAGTAAAAAGAAAATGCAGGCGCGCGTGCACACACACACACCCCTCTACAGTCTGCCCCCCTCACTGCGGTGCCCGCAGCCCTGTACTTGGCAGGCCTGGCTCTATGACCCCTCCCAACAGCAGACCAAGGCTGCACCTAGCAGAGGACCCTAACTGGCCCCAGGCCAGGCTCCTCGCATTTGGTCAAAGCTGTGCTTCCTCAGTCTCCCACCTGCAACAGAAGGGTGACGGCTATGTCCCCAGAGTAGGATGAAGGCCTGAGAGCGCAGGGCTCTGTGCCAGGTGCCCAGCCAGCTCGCAGAAACAGGAAGCCCCTGTGGTCCCCTTTGGCTCCAAAGAGGACCGTCCAGATGATCAGGATGGTGACTGGGCAGTGGAGTGTGGTCAGGGAGGGCCTCCAGGATGAGGTGGCCATGAAGTCTAGAGGAGGGAAAGTGGAGTCTGAAGGTGGAACGGGATGATGGGGGCCACAGGCTGGGCAGTGTGGTAGGAGCCCAGGTGAGGTCATGGGGAGGAGCTGGGGGTTGGGGGGGGACATTGTTTAGAGGAGTCACCAGCGCAGAAGAGGTGTCCCCAAGGAGGGACTAAGGCCATCTACTGAGACCTGCGCCTCCCCTCACCTGGAAGATGTGTCAGGGGAGCCAGCCCAGTGCAAAGAACCTGGGAGCCCCTGTAGCCCCCACCTCCCCTTGAGGTGCCCCTCTGTACCCAGCACATGGTCAGGCACCCCAAGGAGTAGGATGGTGGGGTGGGGGGTGCCTAGCATAGCCTATCCTGTCTCACAGGCACCTCTCGGCCATGCTGACCTGCGCCATGCGGACCCCACCTCCACCGGCCCCCAGCCTCCTGCAGAGCCCACGCACCTGGGTCCTGCTCTGCGCACTCCTTGCCTGTCAGCTGCTCATCAACTCCGTCCTTAAATGAGGCGGGGCTGTGACACCGGCAGACCTGGCAGCCCACCTGGTCCAGGCACCAGCACTTTCACCAGCCCGTACACGCCTGTGGGCCAGAGGACTTCCGATGGACTCAGCCCATGGCACTGGGCTCCCCTTGGAGAGACTGGCAGCCCCAAAGTCGCAGCCTCCCAGCCTTAATGCTCAAGCCAAATGCAGCTCAGAGCGAGCGCCACACCCCTGGGGCAAGATGATGGCTGCCAGGGACCTGGGCAGGGGAGAGTCATCTGAGTGCCGGGCGTGCTTTGAGTAACCCGGGCCCCGGGATGCACAGGGGCTCACACACCCTGAAACTTGGGCTTCCCCTCTGAGGTGTGGCTCAGGAGGAGGGTGCTGCCCCCCACTCCCCCCAGTGCTTGAGTTTCATGGGGCTCAAGTCTGTGGGGGAACCAGTCGGTACCAGCAGGGCCCCACACCCCACGGCTGTTCCTGCCCGTTGGTAACAGCAGACATGTGTCAAGGTGAGGGTGGGGTGAGCAGATGTATGTGCCTTGGGGCCACCAGGGGCCTCAAGGGCAGCCTACTCTGGCAGGCCACTGTCTTCCTGCTGGACACCTTTGTCATCAAAGTCATAGCATCGCGAGTCTCCCAACCCGGCCTCTTTCCCTGCCTGAGCGCATGTGTGTGTGTGAGCGTGCGCCCACATGTGCTTGTGCTCATGTGAGCGTCTTCACATGTGTGCATGTATGTGCATATATGCACCTGTGAATGTGTGCATGTGCATGAGTGAGTTCAGAAATGTGTGCATATGCACGCGTGAGTGTGCGTGTGTGCGTGGCACTGTGCATGTGGATGAGTGTGTGAGGGGACGTATGCATGGGTGATGCACCTGAGCAAACATGGACACATGTGTACACCTGCAGAGCCTTCATGCCGCACAGTGGCCGAGCCTCTAAGGGGACTGCCACTCCCTGTTGGTTGGAGTCCGTGGTCTTCCCTCGCCCACCCCCACATCCCAAGACTCCTGTATTTCGCACAGCAAAATAAACTGACACACATGTTGCGTGCTCTGTTTTTGATCTTCTGGGACTCTGGAAAAGGACTTCTGAGGAGCCCCCGGGCCTTGGGGGGCTTTGGGGAACTCAGGTGCACCCTCAGGGTAGGGGTGGTGGGCAGATCACAGAGGGAGTCTGGAGAGGAGGGTCTGAGGCAGGGATTCAGGACTAGATCTGGAGGGGGAGGAGCTGGGGGAAGGCCCAAGAAATGGGGAGGGGGAGGTGTTAAGGGAAGGGCCTATGCCCACAGGGAGGGGAGAGGCTGAGGGCCTGGCTATAGAGAAAGGGATGGACAGGCTGGGAGGGGTCCTTTGGGGAGCCACAGGGGAGGGGGCTGTGGGGACCAGGCCCAACTTCTGAGGCTGAGGCTGCAGGGGAGAGAGTTTCCACTCAGGAAAAAGTATCTCCCAAACCCATCAAGGGCAGTTCCCTCCTGCCCCATAGGGTGGATAGCAATGGGAATCCACTCCATGGTCTCTCCTGGGGCCTGAAAAACACCAAAGGAACAAGAAGTCATTAGCTGTAGGATTCTGCCTCCCCAAAACTGTGGGGTCCAGCCTAACTTTGTCTGTGGTCCCCATCACATATGGGAACGAGTTGCCTGTCATAGAAACAGTACAGGCTCGACGCACGGCATGTCTCCATTCAATAACTAAAACTAACAGGCCGGCAGGGAGTGGGGAAGGGAGATGTGGAACCACGTGAAGATCCCCCCAAGCAGAAGCTCACACACGCCGGGTGCTTTCTCGACAGCAGACAGAGGCAGGCCCTGGTCTCTGAGAGAGGGTGTGTGGACTGGATGGTTGCTGAGGTGGGGGTGGGGTGGGTTGTTAGGTATCATCATCACAGCGACGACCCCCAGGACAGCCCACAGCACTGCCTGCCCCTGCCCCGCCCTCACAGCTGTGACATGTGAGGCCATTAAGCCCGTCTCTCTGAGAGTCTTCCTCTCTGTCGCTGACCCTCTGCTTTCCTGAGCAGGACGTCCTTCCCACATCTGGGAGCCACACCTCAAGGAGGACCCTGACAAGGAGGACATTCTGCCCCAGAAGGGACAAGGGCCCCTAAGTCCTGCCCCAACACACTCACCCCGCCCCACCCCCCAGGCTCCCAGGCCTGTGCACTGACCTTCCAGGGGATGAAGGCACCCAGCACAGCATCCTTTGATTCCCACACAGAGGACGAGGGTCCCACACACCAGGACAGTCACCACAGCTCCGACCAGGGCCAGCCTGCACCTGGGCTCTGAAACCAGCCAAGGGCAGCCTGACCTCAGGGCCCAGGACCTGCTGTCCTTGAGCTGCCAGGGGGTCCCCACGCAGCCAAGGAGAGCCTCCTGCTCAGTCTCCCTGC